AAAGCGCCATCTCAGCGGCTGGGCAGACGCGGCGGCGGCAGCGGCTGGTGCAGGACCAAGCGGCAGGACGAGCGCCTCCTCCAGGGGCGGCAGGCAGGGTGGCACCAGCGCGACGGTGGACCCGTCCCCACTCGAGCCGGCGCGCAGCAGCAATCTCGAAGGGGCGGCGCTGCGTGCGAGCGTGCCACCCTGGCCCGTGCCCCGCAGCGCTTGGACGAGCTGCGTGGGCATGCCAGGCATCGGGACGGGGGTGAGTGTCCTCCGGACGAGAAACGCAATCGCGGAGCCAAATTCGGCGGGAAGCGGGGCGAGGCCGTGGAGCGGGTCCGACGTCTCGTCGCGCAGGATGATGAGCCTGAGGCCAAAGGTGTCCGCCGTCTGGTTGACGACGCGATGCGCGGGCCAGAACGGCGGCTTTGTCTTTTGGGCATTCCACATGCCCTCGGCGCGCGAGTTGCTCGGAGCAGGCAGCGAGCCGTCCAAGACGCGGATGCGGGAGCAGGGCACGATGATGGGCCCCTCCCGGCACGCGGCGCAGAAGCGGTCGCGAAAGGCGGGCGACTTTGGCGTCACCATTGGACAGCGCTCGGTGCCGGCCAGCTGTGCGCCCCAGCAGAGATGAGCCGAGGAGGTGGCCGCCGGTTGGGCGGCGGATCCGAGACCGGCTCCTGTTCGGCGAGGACGCCTTGAGGCATCAGATGAGCACGGCTCCTCACTCGAAGACTCCTTGCTCAAAGACCCACGCTCGCCGGCTGCACACCACGCCACGGAAGGATCCGCGGCAGGCAGCGCGGGAGGAGGCGGCGGAGGATGGGGCGGCGGCTGGGGCGACGGCTGGGAATGCAGCTGAACACAAAAGACGGAGCCCGGGCCAGAGGGTGCAGGAATTACGGCCTCCGCGTCGCGCCGCTTCTCCCACAGCCCCGCCTCCGTCTTGCCCACACCGCCCGCCGCCGACGCTCTGGCGTTCAGCGGATTTGCCGCCTTTTCGACGCCAAACTTCTTGGCGCGCTCCGCGCGCGCAAGCACCTGCTCGGAGGCGCGTGCATTCCGCCGCGCAACCTCGGCCGGGCCATGCGGGTCGTTACCGCCGCCGTCCTCCTTTGCCACGTGCTGGATGATCCGCCGCGGCTCCATCGCACCATCCGCGCCGGCGCCGCTCTGCCGCCCACGCTTGCCACCGGCGTCGTCGAGCAGGTCCGCGTGGTCAACGTCCTCGAACATGCAAAGCGTGGCGCCCGGGCGGCGTGGTGGGAGGGAGAGGGGTCAGGCTGCCCGTCGAGACCTCGAGAGCTCTCCGACACCTCACAGCTCCCAAACGACATCGATCTCGGACCTGCCGCTTTGCAGGCACCCTCAGGGTGCACCGACGCCCGCCTCCTCCTCTCCTCAGGTCCGAGATCGATGTCGTTTGGGAGCTGTGCCGCGCGCTCCTGTCGCCTCCGCGAGCGCCTCCTCGACCCGCCGCGGGGCCCGGGCAACGGCCTCGAGCCGCGCTGGCGATGCTCGGCCTGCCTTCTGGCACCCTATCGCACGCACTCCCGCCAGCCGCGCGCTCCCGCGCCGTCGTGCGAGCTTCTGGCGTCATCCGTGCGAGATGCGGCGTCGCGTAGCGGCCACACGCGGATCAGCTCGGTCACCTCGAGCGCGCTCGCTGCCTGCGCGCCAGGCAGCGCTCCTCTCTCGTCGTCGCGGCGACGAGTCGGGACGACGCCGTCGCTCGAGGCGCGTGGCCGGCGGCGCTCCTCTAGGCGGCGCTCCCTCGAGGCGCCGGGCCGACGTGACTGGGGCAGCTGCGGCGCACGACGGTGCCCAATGGCCGCCTCCGCCGTCCCCGGCTCGGCCTGTGGATCAGGGCAGCGGTCTCTCAGCTGTGCCGTCTCTGAACAGACACACTTGAGGACACGCGCGCGCGACGCTCACAGCTGCGTGTGCCGACAGCGGTGGTCAGTCTAAAATGTGTCTTGGTCAGTCTGACGGGCCAAAATATTTGAGGAAACACATTTTGCTGTCCTCATGCACTCACGGCCCGCGCATTGCGGCTCCGCCGAGACCTTGTTGGCAAAGTTTGATCGCACGCGCTCGTTTTCCCAGATCCCACTAAATCATCACGGCCCCGTAACACCCCCTCCGCGCGCGGTCAAAGGCTTCCCAGGGCCGGTCTATGACATGAACCGATAGACACAAGCAAAAACAACCGCACCTCTAAGCTTCTCGGGCACCCCGAGGCCCATACGGCGCCCCGGCGGGCCCCGGCGGAGGTCCGGCGCGGCGCTCCAAATCCGCACTCTTCGCGAGCTTCTACGGGAGTTCACGCGGCCTCTCCGCCTCGTGAGGCACACCCCACACCCACCACGAGTCCTGGGGCCGTGGGCGGACCTTTGGCCGCGGCGTCCGGAGCTTTGGTCGTCGAACATCGGCCGCCAACTAGGCCGTCGAGCGAACGTGTCCGGAAAGGCTCTCGGATGGGTCCGGCAGCGGTCCCATGGACCCAGAAGCTCGCCCCGGCCGAGCATTCACGGCTCGGCCCCCGCCCCTGGTCACCCAGACGTGCCCTTGGACAGCCGTAGGGGCTCGGATGACGACGTTGGCGCCCGCGACGACGCCCTCCCCGACGACGTCGCATCTGGCACCAGACACTACTCGCGTACTCGGGCGCGGCGGCGCGGACAATCACATGGTTTGGGACTCTGAGCGATGGCAGAGGCCTTTATTTGCAAACGAGGACGCCCCGCGAGGCCCCGTCGGCCGGGAGTGGTGAGTGGGACCATAAACAAGCACTATATCTCCCGTACCGCGACCAGCCCACACACAGCCCAAACCGCTGCCAAACCGGCCCTGATCACGCCGGCCGGGAGGCTGCCGTGGCGCCCAAACAGTCCCTCACGAACGCCACACGGGCCACCACGGCCCGTCCGGCGGCCCGGGTGCCACCCCACACCCGCCCGACGCCCTCGGCCAGCCAGCGCCCACTCTGAGAGGCTTCACCGCCGCCAGCGCGCCGAGCGCGCCGCCCTCTCCTCGCGCCACACGGGCCCCTGGCCGCACGCCCGAGAGGCGGCCCATAATTTGAGTCGAGACGCGCCGCCGGCCAGCCAG